AAAAAAAGCATTATGTTGTCATGCACATGAGAATAAAAACATAATATACACTAAAGCAGACGGAGTCATGTGTTTCATATAAACATTGTTTTTTTTATTGTTGAGCAAGACCAGTGCGTTTTACACAAGAGTTTTTCATATGGGTGGCACGGCAATGTCGGCGTATGACTTGACACTGTCTAAGACATCTGGAGTAACACCACAAGATGACAATTTCCATGGGCTGTCAGCCAACAATAATCGTGCGGTTAGTCTCTTCGTTGGGTTGGTGCATAGCAGTCTAAACACGATCCGGTTGACCAGAGTGTGCTTCACGACATTGGGCATCAGGATGTCGCGGTTGTTGCGATTGGTGCGCGCATTGTGGTCCAATACGAGGGCAATGAGTTTGTCTGTGGGAATGTTGGGGTGACAGAATACACATTCGCCTTCCATTGCGTCCGCGATCATCACGCCCAAGCTCCACATGTCCACGGCGCAAGTATAAGGAATAACACCTTCTCGAGTAAACAATTCCGGGGCTCGATATGGCCGGGTGACCACCGTGGAACTCATGCCCTTGCCCACGGCGTATCTCGACAGCCCCATGTCTGCCACTTTGACGTCGAACGTGTCCGCAGTAAGCAGCACGTTCGCGGGCTTCAGGTCCCTGTGTACCATATTGAGTCCGTGCATGTAAAACAGCGCGTTCGCGATCTGCCTTGAAAAACGCGCTATGAATGCGACGGGCAGCCGGACCACACGTTGTCCTCGGTATATCACGTCGGACAGCGATAGAGGATAATATGGCATGATCACCGACATCTCCCCCTTGTATACGAAACAGTCGAGCATCTCGACGATATGCGGGTGGCCTTTCAACGCAGAGAGGCACGACAGTTCACGCACAGTGGATTCTGTCATACCATTGTCGGTGTCTTCGCAGATGTCATCGTTGGTCTTGTGGCACTTTAAAGCGTAACTCTTGCCGGTTTCCCTAGACCTGACATGATACACCGTGCCGTACTGCCCTTCGCCTACGATGGTACGGCCGGTATAGCGTTCCATTGCAGCGGACGAACCTGATGGTGTCTAAATGAAATAATAAACCGTTCTGCTGTCGCACAATAACACTGAAGCAACAAAATAATGTATTTGATGCGTGATGACCTGTTGTGACTAGCGTATAGGGCGCGGGAACCCCCTGTGGTGTACGCCAGTCGGGGCAAT